GCATAAAAACTAACCAAAAGAACTTTGGGGGTTACACTATACCAACACGAATGATATAGAATTACAGACCAAAGGAACTCGAGGGGTCGCAGAACACCAACATAAAAAGAGGCACAATAATAGGCAAATGGACTCCAAAAACTTCAAGGAGGAAGTGTCTTATCTCTTCTTATTTGGGACTATTTATAAGCCAAAAAACCTAGAAAACCCATCCAAAACCATTTGAAACCGGACCAGCCCGTGATAACCCATAGGACCACCTATTTTTGCGTGATTAGATGACTATCACTTAATCAACAAAAAGATTGCACGATCCACATGATTCTACCCATGATACGAAGCGTCACACGATCGACAACCTTGATTGTAGACCTAGCCTGCCCACGTCATCCAATCATACTGGGCAGTTGACTTGTCCTTGCCTGATGCCAACTCGCTAAATTGTCGCTTATGAATTATGACCTAGCCCAACCCGATGACTCACTCAATCGCTGCTGCTGAGCCAACTTGATCCGTTGTCTAGAACTGAGTTTCATGCCCATGCATTGTGGCGACCGTCAAACACCAGAAAACTACAAGTTTTCAAAAAAAAAATATATCATATTTTCAAAAAAAATATATATATCATATTTTTGTTATTTTTATTAATTTCAGAGGATAGGAAATAAATCTCCTAAAAATAAGGGGAAAATGATGTGTCATCACTAATTTTATCATTTGATATTAATCTCGAGGCATTTGACACAGATCTTGAGCCATTAATCTCGAGGCATTTGACACAGATCTTGAGCCATTAATCTCGAGGCATTTGACACAGATCTTGAGCCATTAATCTCGAGGCATTTGACACAGATCTTGAGCCATTTTTTTAGCAATAATTGTTTTGATTAGAACTAAAAGTCCTTAAAAGCTTGATTTCTACAAATTTAGAGTCAAGCTAATCAACTCAACAATACGAACCCAATTTTATCAAAATTGATCCAATCCAAGTCAAATCAAGTCCACATCAAACTATTAAATTATTTTTGGAGTTTTTGGTTGGTTGTTTGGCGGGTCAAATGATCTCCAAATTTTATGTTCTTATCATCAAATTGAGTGCTTCAACGAAAGAGATCCGACAAACATAAAATCACCTGATTTTGAGGTTATTAAGGCTATAAAAAAATCTCCTATGATAAAGACGAATCAACGTGGGGCGTTTGATCAAGTGGTTATGATGGTTACTCATCAAAGGACAAAAATGCCCCTCATCCATGGCCTATAAATATACCTCCTCTCTTCACTTAAGGGATGGAGAGGGGAAGAAGGAGCCTATTTCCAATGTCGTTTTGGACTAAAGGTCCAAAGATAACATCTGATCTCTATAGCCGCCGACCACCGTTCACTAACTGCTGTCGACCACTCTCGGCCGCCCCATGCTCGCCACCACTGACAGGTGAAATAATGAAGCACTCTGTGAAGTAACGACACACAGTGCAGAATAACGAAGTATCCTGCAAAGTGCCGATGTCTCCAACATACAAAGTAATACATTGTTCTAAATATGTGCATCGACGTACCCCAATATCAAAGACCCGATGATTACTTTCAGTAGCAACTTTTCTCGATTGTTATACAACAAACATTTGTATACAATCATTGTACTTGGAGAAATCTTATAACTCTTTCCTGGTTATGAAGTAACGGTTTATCTTTGTACTTACCAATCAATAGAAAATCATTTCAACTTGGTTAGACCTCGTAAGTTTTTCCCTTTCTAAGCTTTTTTCATGCAAAAATTCTGATTTCTCCTTATGTTTCTTTTATTATCAGTGTATGTGCTAGATTTCGTATAACACTAAGAAGTTAGGTTATTACTCCGTAAATTTTAGGGGACGCAACACTACTTTTATTAGTTTACAACTAATGCATGAATTCTTCTCTCATGTCATTATTTCTTTTGTAAATTCAAATTTAATTTGATAAAGAATTCTACGTAGCTCCCTTCAGAAGCTTTTCTAACAGGTGAGATTGTATTTACTACTGATTGCAGATTCCAAAGACATGTTACGCACGTCACTACATTTACTTGTAATGATTCATACTTAAATCACATGAAAAATAAAAAGTTTGGCATAATTAACTTTGTGTATAGCAAATAATCAGCTTACTGGAAATGATTTTTTTTTTCAACTTTGACAAATTTGATGCAAATAAATATTCATGTGTTTATTTTATTATTGCATCATTCACAACTCTAATTTCCTCTTTCCAAAGAATTTTACAGCAGAGAAATGGAATGCTCTACGAATTTGGAAACGTGCATAGCTTGTCTAAATAAGCCAAGTTTTAAAGAGTGAATGAAT